ATGTGTATCTTCCCAATTGGTTCTTAGAGTAGAGCTGTGAGATAGAGTAAATCACATAGTCTCCATTAGACCTTGAATCTGATGGAAAATTTCCTGGGGTACCCAGATTAATTTGATACAAACTGAGGACATATGTTCAGGGGAGATTCTGAGTAAAGGAAGTCAAAAGCTTCTTAGAAAGGCTGGCATTGAGATTGAGGGTGAGGAAGGAACCCTGGATGGTGAGAAAGCTTGTGCTGTACTTTAGGTCACTGGTGGTATGTATGCTGAGAAAGTGGCCTCAGAAATAATCACAGGAAGAATTGAAGCTACCTAGCAAAAGTGCTTCTTTGCATCCTATATCTGGTTGAAGGGAAAACTTGAAGGTAGCAGGAACTCTGAATCTCCTCTCTTCATCTTTTGTTGGGGTGCTAAGTATTGAACCCAGGGGCACTCTACCACTAAGCTATATCCCCAGCTTTTAATTATTCTTTTAAATGTTTGAGACAGGGTCTAAATTAAATTAGGCCAGTTGTCCTCAACCTTGTGATCCTCCTGCCTCGGCCTTCCATATAGCTGGGATTACAGGTGTGTACCACCATTCCTGGCTCACCTCTTCATCCTTATTGAATTTACAGTACTTTATGCATTTGGTTTTCCCATTTGGGGGCCCCAAAAGAGAGGACAAGGCATCCTAGAGGACTTAATTTTTCCCAGAGCCCATAAAACTATCTTCTCTTACTAACAAAAGTCCCTAGAGACTTTTATCCTAAAAGTAGAGTGGATAATCAACAAGGGCCTAAGGTAGAGGAAACAGGAAGAATGCTCTAAGACAATGCCAGGTAAGACCCTTTGTAACTGGAATCATGTAGGCAATGTCTTTAACTTTTTTTTTTGGTTGCACATGGGATTGAATCCAGTGGAGCTTTACCACTTTATTTTAAATTTTGAGACAAGGTCTCACTAAGTTGCTGAGGCTGGCCTCAAACTTGGCAACCTTCTGCCTCAGTCTCCCAAGTAGCCAGGATTATGCATCTGCTTCATCCACCTGGTTCATGTAGGCAACATCTTTTTTTTTTTAATTAATATTTTTTAGTTATAGATGGATGCAATATCTTTATTTTGTTTATTCATTTTTATGTGGTGCTGAGGATCGAACCCAGTGCCTCACATGTGCAAGGCAAGTGCTCTGCCACTGAGCCACAACCCCAACCCCTGTAGGCAACATCTTAAAAGTGCATTTTTAGTTTGGTACAGTGGCATATGCCTGCAGTTCTAACTACTCTAAGCTGAGGTAGAAAGATCTCAAGTTTGAGACCAGCCTTGGCAACTTAGACCTTGTCTCAAAATTTAAAAGGGCTGGGATGCTAGGTGTGGTGGCACAAACCAGTAATCCCAGCGGCTCAGGAGGTTGAGGCAGGAGGATCACAAGTTCAAAACCAGCCTCAACAACAACTTATGAGGCACTGTCTCAAAAAAAAAAAAATACATATATATACACACACACACACACACACACACACACATAAAGGGCTTGGATGTGGCTTTATGGTTAAGTACCCCTGGGTTCAACCCTGGTACCAAAAAAATTTTTAAAAAGGCGAGGCTGGGGTGTAGCTCAGTGGTAAAACTCTTGCTCAGCATGTGTGACATACAGGGTTTAATCCACAGTAATGCAAAAAATAAATACACATAAAAATAAAATAATAATAAAAAGATGAGGTGAGTTGAATGAATTTTGCCTGTGAAGTATGATGGTTCAGGGCAGTGACTCTGAACCTGGGTTCACTTCCGGTTCTACTATCTATTAGCCATGTGACCTTGATATGTTATTTAATGTGGTCTCCTCTTCTCTGAATTGGGGATAATAGTATCTGTTATAGGTTTATCTGAGGTCTCTAACAGGTTCTCAAAAATAGCAGCTGCAGTGATTATCCTTTTGTGCAGAAAGGAAGAACTTTTGACTCAAGGTTTCAGGCTTCCTCTCTGTAAACTGTGGCCTTCTCTTTACCACAGGGCAGCAGCAGCTGACGGTGCAGAATGTTTCTGGAAACAACCTGACCATCAGTGGGCTAAGCCCCACCCAGATACAGCTGCAGATGGAGCAGGCCCTGGCCGGAGAGGCCCAGCCTGGGGAGAAGCGGCGCCGCATGGCCTGCACATGTCCCAACTGCAAGGATGGGGAGAAGAGGTAATCCAAGGGTTAGGCCACACCAGCATCCTGGCATGTGCACTGTTCCCCAAGCCCCTCCAGGGGTGCCCAGGGCTTATGCTTAGCTTGTCTTTTTTTTTTCCCCCAGTACTGAGTATTGAACCAAGGGGCATTTTACCACTGAGCTACACCTTTAGCATTGTTTTTTTGTTTGTTTTTGTCTTTTCTGTGCCTACAACCTTGCTGTATCTTATTTCTGTCCACCTCCTTCCCTTCTTCCCATTCCCTCCACCCCACCCTTAATCCAATTCTCAGGTCTGGAGAGCAAGGCAAGAAGAAGCACGTGTGCCACATCCCAGACTGCGGCAAGACTTTCCGGAAGACATCCTTGCTGCGGGCCCATGTGCGCCTGCACACCGGGGAGCGGCCATTCGTCTGCAACTGGTTCTTCTGTGGAAAGAGGTTCACGAGGAGTGATGAGCTCCAGCGGCACGCTCGCACCCACACAGGTCAGCTCCCGCCTCCCTTCAGCCCTGTTTTGCTGCCCTCGGTGCACCAGCACCCTGGCCTGTCAGGAGCTGCTACATTGAACAAGAGCTACCGACTGTCCAAAGGTTACCCCAGAAATTCTTTGCGGCCATTCCTTAATCGCAGTGTTCCTCCAGAGTGGTATCACTGCATTACATGACCCCAGTGACCTCTGCCACATCTGCATAAAATCACTTAGTGTGCTACACTCTCAGAAGACATTACAGATTACCTGAGTTAATCCCGGTAAGGACACTCTGGGAGGTACTTTGATAATGTCCATCTTACTGAGGCCTGGAGAGGCGGCCAGGTCACCTAGCTAATGACAGGCAGAGCCAGGTTCAAACCCAGGCTCTCTGGCTCCTAAGTCCATTTCTTTCTCTCTTTCTTTTTTTTTTTTTTTAAATCTTTTTATAGTTGTAAATGGACAGAATGCCTTTATTTTATTTGTTTCTTTTTATGTGGTGCTGAGGATTGAGCCCATGCCTGAAGACTGAACACATGCTAGGCAAGCTCTGCCACTGAGCGACAGCCCCAGCCCCCAGGTCCATTTCTTAATCACTATTCCATGCTGTCCTCCTGTTGTTATTTACATAATGATTTTCCTTAAATTGTTTATCTGTTTTACTCATTTATTTCCTAAGCAATATTGTTTTTTGTATTGTAGGTTTGATATCACATGTTTGAATGTACTGGCAAATAATGCAAAACTATTAGAAAAATGCTATAGTGAATGCCCCAGTGAGCAGACAGACCCCTTGTACTGGGACTGGGGTAGGGGACTTGTGACCCCAAAGCTCCTGGCCAGGGTGGTGGGACAGACGCAGAAGAGTAAACACTTCACTGAACAGTGGCTGACCTGGCCGGGGTCAGTGTGCTTCAGGTCAGTAAGTGCTCAGGGCTGGTGAGGTCAGAGTGGAGTGGGGCCTTCCTGTGAGGGAAGGTGTTGATGCAGGTGTAAAGCCCAAGGAACACAGATCAGAACAAAGCAGGCAGGCAGTCCCACAAGAGAAGACTGCAGGGGCTCAGGGTGAACATCTTGGGCAAAGATAAGGAAGAGAACATAGGAGACTGGAGAGGTCAGATGGGGCAGGGAAGTGAGGACGGATCAGAGTGTAGAGCAGCAGATGGCAGGGAGAAAATATCTGAGCAAGAGGTGGACAGAACATGGCAACGAGGCCATGACAGCTTTACCAGGGGCCCCTCATGTACTCCCTTCTTTTTGGGGTACCACAGTGTTTGCACATGGGCTCCACATGTGATGGACATCTCCTCTTCCCAGGGGACAAACGCTTCGAGTGTGCCCAGTGTCAGAAGCGCTTCATGAGAAGTGACCACCTCACCAAGCATTACAAGACCCACCTGGTCACGAAGAACTTATAAGGCCAACTGAGACAGGAGGACCTGAAGACACAACTCCCCCATCTGTCCTGCCTGGGCCCCTAGTGAACAGGTGCCCACAGCTGCCCTCAGCCCCGCTGCTGTTCTGTGGCTGTGTCCCCACAGGAAGGGGCTCTGCTTCCTGTGCTCTCCTTCTGAAGCCCCTTGGCTCCGCCCTGGCCCTTCCTTCCCACCATGAGCTCCCGTCCTGCCCAGACCATGGACACTGGCCATGCCCAATGAGACGTTCTAAACCAGGACGCGTGGGAACCCTTATTTCCAAAGGAAAAACGCATTTCACTCCGTCGAGGAGCAAAGTGAGCCCGCCCCTGCCCTGTTCCCTGCCTCCAACACTCCCAACACTGCCGGAGTCCCACCGTGCCATGCCCCCCAACTCCTGTGCCTCCTTGCCCCCACCCACCCACTAGGGATGCCCTGGTGCCTGGCACCCAGCCTCCCACTGGCACCCACCTCTGCAGAGGCTCAGGAGCCACCTCCACTCCACTGCCCAGCCCTGCCTCGGCTCTCCTCCAGACATTCCAACTTCCCATTCAAACGTCAGACACCCGTGGACTCCTCTCTGCACCCCTTTTTCTATGGAGAACGTTGCCTTATATTCTCTACTTCAGATGATGAACACTGTGTATTGTGTGTGCTTTAAGGACGTTTTATTTAATTGCTCCCTTCTTCCTTTCCTTCGTAACCACCTCCCCCCATGCCTGCTTTCAGTTTAGGGTTTTGGGGGGCGATGATGAGCATATGAATTTTTTTCTCACTCTAGCAATTCTCTTTTCTAAGTGACACAGCATTTCAACTCAAAAACACCTCCATCCTGAACCTCCTCCCTCCCCCTCATCTCACCTGCCCCACCCAAGCTCAACTGTGTACAGTGTATATTGTATAATAGACGATTGTGTCTACTACATGTTTTAAAAAACATATTGCTTGTTATTTTTGAGGCTTTTAAATTAAACAAAAATCCAACTTTATTTTTAGTTGTAACTGCTTGAGGTATGTTTTATGAATTAAGTGACAGATTTGTTATCCTTTATTAACAATGTACTCTGTTGGTCAGTGCTGGGCTGACAAAAATTTTTTCTTGCTAATAAATTTAGTTGCCTGAGGCAAAATCTGCACCTTGGCAGTTTGGCTTCCTTTCTGTTTTACCTTGGAGGGCTCAGAGAAGGACTCCAGAGGAGGGAGCCTTTGTCTCTCAGAGCGATCCACACCTGGACCAAGATAGAACCCTGCCTAGGGGCTGCAGCCATATGTGCTTCACAGTGAAGTCCCCAGAGCGTCTCCAGGGACCTTCTCAGAGGCCAGGGCCCACCTAGTGTTTGTTTGTTTTTTTTCCACAAGCCAGTATTGCTTCTGCCACAGAGACAAGTTACAGCAGGCACTCCCTCAGCCAGCAAGCTGACTCCCCCACAACTCCCAGGCCCTGGAGGGGAGGGCTTTGGCCTCATAGCCCATAATAAGTTTAGGGAGAAGAGCCAAGGGACTTTGGCTTAGCCACTTCCAAAAGGCTCAGAGTCTGGAAAAAACAGTTTCCCAAGGACTCAGGGCCCTTCCTAAGGCACAGGACCAGGCAGATTCCTCAGAGGGCCCAGCAGCTAGAGGCCTGTGAGCCCAGCTTTTCCTAAAAGGACCCTGGCTGGCCAGGTTCTGTTTTTCTTCTGTCCCCTTGTCCAGCATCCCAGGGAGGGCAGTCAGTTGATGGACACCTTTTGGTTTTACAGATCTGAAGTTTTGGTGGGGATTTTTTTTTTTTTTTGAGGGGGGAGGCAGGAAGTCCAGGGTTGTGGTATTATGCAGGTAAAGGTCAGAGCTGATATTTAAGCCTCTTTGGGGCCTGAAGAGCAGAGCATCTGGGGCTGAAGGGAAAGGCGAGTCATCTCAAGCACGCAGAGAACAGAATGTGCTTTTTACTCACCCTCAGGACACCCAGGGTGGCGGTCCTGTTCAGGAGTGGTGAGGCTCATTCTCACTGCCCTGTCCTCTTGCCTTTGTTGCCAGCTACCTGCATTGCTACAAAACAGCTTTTCTTTTAGTGCCAGTTGACCTGCACAGGACTAAAAAAATAAAAAGGACAAGGATCTTAGATGGATCCAGGTTCTCTGCCTTTGCTCACTTGTCAGCAGGTAGGGAGACCCTTCCCATTACATTCAATTCTCAGAGCAAAATACTAGAAGAGCAGCTGAATGGACCCTGGCAGAGAACCTCTTCCTCAGCCCATCAGCCCTGCATCTCATTGCTGCTCTGACAACCGGGGGAAGGCGTGAGGTACACTTACCTATCCCCTATGTGTGGGTGGCACAGCTGGAAAACTGCCTTGCATGCTCTGAATGAGGGGCTGGTGGAGAGAAGGGATGTATTAACCAACTGGCTCCTTTCTGCCACACGTTCTTGATTTTGCTCTTAGGCACAAAGAATTACTGTTCCTGGGAGTGGATTCCAAGGCTGGTGCCTTATGCTTTCTGTGAAGAAACTGACCTGACACCTTGGCATCCTTTAGAGATGAGCTGTGATCTAGGAACTCTCCCCCACCTCCCTCCCTCCCTTGAAGGCTGATTCCTTCCTACCCTACCTCATTCCAGTCTCTTCTAATCAGACCTTCCTTCTGGGGCATTCTTCAGGCCCGCGAGGCCGTTGGGGTGGGGGGCTTCTTCTCTAGTTGTCACGTGTTTCAATTAAACACTAGCCCACTGCACTCAGTGGCTTCGGGACCAGAGGGAAACCATTTTCAACTGTAAGGAAAACAGAGCAAGCACCATGGCAAATGAAATATTGGGGAGTACATGACTATGACACTGGGACACACAGGGCTGGGGATGTAGCTCAGTAGCAGAGTGCCTGCCTAGCATGTCCAGGGCCCTGGGTTTGATTCCCAGCACTGAAACAAAAACCAAAAACTGGGACACACACTCCACCAACTGGGTGTCCCTACTTGGCTTTGGCCAGTTGGTGCTGTGCAAGAATGCCACGTCTGTTGACTTTTGTAAGAGAAACTAGAAATGTGGAGTGCTATGGTTTGGATCCTGCACATCTCATAAGGTCCATGTGTTTAAAGCCTGGTCCAGCCTATGGTGCCATTGGGAGGTGTGGACCTGGAGGAGGTCAGCTCATTGGCGCATGGCCTTGAAGGGAATATTGGCACTCCAGCCCCTCCTTTTCCTGTCTTTCCTTCCTAGCCACAGAAAGTAAGCAGCTTCATCACGCATTTCCACCATGATCTACTGCCTCCCCACAGGCCTAAAAGCAACAGAGCCAACCAACCATGGACTGAAACCTCCAAAACTAAGCTGAAATATAAACCTCTCCTTTTTCTTTCTTTCTTCCCAACCCCCAGTACTGGGGACCGAACCCAAGGGCACTCTACACCACTGAGTTGAAATCCTAGCCCTCCCACCTTTTTTTTTTTTTTTTTTTTTTTGGTGCTGGGGATTGAACTCAGGAGTGCTTTATCACTAAGCTACATTCCCAATCCTTTTTATTTTATTTTATTTTTTTTGACACAGGGTCTTACTAAGTTGCTAAAGCTAGCCTCAAACCTGCAATCCTCCTGCCTCAGCCTCCCATCCGCAACAACCTTCCTCTTATCTCGGGCATTCTGTTAGGTGCAATATTGGAAAGCTGACTTAAAACACAGAGTTTTGTGTGAAGTCTCCAAATCTTTAAATGTTGGCTCAATTGTTTAAAAATACAGCAGGAGGGCTGGGGTTGTGGCTTGGTGGTAGAGAACTTGCCTAGCATGTGTGAGGTATGGGTTTGATCCTCAGCACCACATATAAATAAAGGTCCATCAAAGACTAAAAAAACATTTTAAAAAGAATACAGCAGGAGGGCTGGGGATGTGGCTCAAGCGGTAGCGCGCTCGACTGGCATGTGTGCGGCCCGGGTTTGATCCTCAGCACCACATACAAACGAAGATGTTGTGTCTGCCAATAACTAAACAATAAATATTTAAAAAAAAAAAAGAATACAGCAGGAGCTAGGCACAGTAGTAATGCCTATAATCCCAGGACTCAGAAGGCTGAGACAGGAAGATGGCAAATTTGAGGCCAATCTTAGTAATATAGCGAGAAATTCAATTAAAAGGGCCCAAAATAAAAAGACTGAGTAGGGATGGAGCTCAGGAGTACAGTACTCCTGGGTTCAATCCCCAGTATGGCAAAAAAAAAAAAAAAAATCATGGACTGGTAAGGTCATAGCAAGGGGACACCCTGGCCTCCCCAGGGATGGACAAGATTTGAGTTCAGGAAACAGTCCTATTTCAGATCCTAATAGACACACACACACACACACACACACACACACACACACAGAGTCAGGCTAGTAGCATCTTCCTTAACCACAGGCAAAAGGGAATATGGCAGAGGCTTTGCAGTCTACACAGTTCTGCAAACTACCCCACCCCACCCAAGGCCAACCCGACCTTCAGTTTGTCTCCAACCAGATTTGCTGTATCATTCCCAGAGTGATGTGGATCCCTCTCTCTCCACATTCCATACCCATTCTTTTTTCTTTTTGGTACCAGGAATTGAACGCAGGGCGCTTAGCCACTGAGCCACATCCCAAGCAGGGATTAGAAACAGGTCTCACTGAGTTGCTTAGGGCCTTGCTAAATTGCTGAGGCTGAGCCTTGAACTCACGATCCTCCTACCTCAACCTCTGGGATTAGAGTTGTGAGCCACCTTGCCAGCTCCATACCCATTCTTAAGTGTGTGTGTCAGGGGATGTAGACAACAGAGCTCAAAGACTGAGACCTAGAGACTAAGAGGACAAGACCACCAAATGCAATATGAGAACAGACTGGATCTCAGAAGAGGAAAAGGACTTTAGTTGGGGGTAGGGGCAAAATTCAAATAAAGCCTATGAATCACTGTTAATTTCTTGTTTTTGGTAACTGTGCTATGGTTAGTAAGCTCTTTATTTTAGAAGAAGCTGGGTGAAGGGTATATGGAAAATCTTTGTACTATATGTGTAATTTTTCAGTAAATCTAAAATTGCCTCAAAAATTTTAAAAATTAAAAAAAAATTTTTTACTTAAGTCAAGAAATGGAGTACAGCCAGGCACAGTGGTGTGTCCTGTAATCTCAATGACTTGGAAAGCTGAGGCAAGAGGATTGTGAGTTTGAGGCCCACCTCAACAAGGCCCTAAGCAACTTAGAGAGACCCTATCTCAAAATAAAAAATAAAAAGGGCCAGGTGTGGTTCACCTAAAACTAAAATATAAATGTTAAAAAAAAAAAAAGTTCACACACCTGTAATCCCAGCAACTCAGGAGGCTGAGGCAGGAGGATCACAAGTTCAAAGCCAGCCTCAGCAACTTAGAGAGGCCCTAAGCAACTTAGTGAGCCTGACTCAATATAAAAAAAAAACTTTAAAAGTGCTGGAGATGTGGCTCAGTGGTTAGGTGCCCCTGGGTTAAATCCCTAGCACCAAAAGTAACTAAACAAATGAATAAATAAATAAATAAATAAAAATAAAAAATAAAAAGGACGGGGGATGTGGCCCAAGGGTTAAGTACCCCGAGTTCAATCCCTGACAGCACCCCCCCCCAAAAAAAAAAAGAAAGAAAGAAATGGAATGCAACATACAAGTGAAAATCAAAGCAGGTGGAACAAGATCATGCAACCAGTTTCACAATCAGAGTGGTCAACACTCCCTGTGGAGAGTGGGCTAGTGTAATGGGTGACTAGGATCCAGAGATTCTGGAGACTGAGGCATGGGCACCTGCTATGGGCAGAGCTTGCCAGCCACAGCCCACCTTCATGCTGCCCCTTGCCCAGCCCTCACAAGGAGCCACCGGTAGCATCTCAGGCACCCCCTGGATCCGTCAGGGGGCTTATAACTAATGTAACATAGATTCTAGGGACCCTAATTTGGGCTGAGATCTTACATAGTTCAGAGACAATATATGATTTGACTGAAGTCTTTGGGGCTGGGGTGAAGCCACACATGCCTGGCATGTGTGAAGCTCTGGGTTTGATCCTCAGCACCACATACAAATAAATAAATAAAATAAAGGTATTGTATCCATCTGTCCATCTACAACTAAAAAACTAAATTAATTAATTGAAAATAAAAAGAAAGCCAGGCGCAGTGGCCCACATCTGTAATCCTAATGCTCGGGAGGCTGAGGCAGGAGGATCACGAGTTCAAAGCCAGCCTCAGCAAAGGTGTGGTGCTAAAGCAGCTCAGTGAGACCCTGTCTCTAACTAAAATACAAAATAGGACTGGGGACGTGGCTCAGTGGTCAAAAACTCCTGAATTCAATCACTAGTATCCTCCTGCCCCCCTCTCCCGGAAAATGCAAATCATAACAATTTGGAAAACCCTTTTAGTCCTGGATATGTCTACTGTGACAATTAAGACACTGTCTTGAATGCTCAAAAAAAAAAAAAAAAAAATACAGGATAAACATATGTGGTTTTCTAAGAAACAAATTTAAAAAGGAAGGAAGGAAGGAAGCAGAGTAATCTCAGGACAGGTGACAGTTGGGTTTCCTAGGTGAACAGGCACTCGGGGAGTAGAAGAGGTAAGAGGTGCTGGGAAAAGGAATCAATGAATAGAGCCATGGATGAGAAAAAAAGCAAACCACCAGTGGGCTACCACAGGCACTCAGGGCTTGGAGAGGGGGATTAGAAACCTGCTCACAGAGATCTTGGGCCAAGAGGAAATGAGAACTGACACAGGGCAGGCCAAGTGCCAAGAGAGACCAGGATTTCCCAAAGGAAAAGCCGCCAGGTCCCATCTTCTGGGCCTGCCTGAAAACCCATCTCGTGGCCTCCATCTACTGCCTGGGGCCCCCACTAATTACCAAAGCAGCTGGTCCAGGGACTGAGACTGACGTAATTCATTAGGCCTTTGAAAACTTAACATCCCTCCCATCAACGAACACTTTCTCACTGTTTGTTGCTGCCTAGCCCCCAACTGTACAGAGAGGCTTAACAAGAGCAATTTATGCATAATCGTTACAGATCAGCATTTCCTGAGCACACCCTATTGGCTGGGATTTTGAGAAAGAGCCAGAGAAAGTAAGAGATGTGATCTCTCCCGTGAAGCAGCTCCCACTCTGATCCCTAATATCAGTCCCACGAATGAACACTACAGAATGGATGTGGGAGGCAATCTGGGAGCACGTGGAGGGTTAACCGCCAAGTACCACAGGCAGAGCATGGATAAGGCTCAGCCTCCTCTCATCCCACAGTGGGCTTCAGAGGACCCAGTCCCCTCTGAGCTCTTGATAACCTACTCAGAGCTCAGGCACCAGCTAGCAAGGAACCAAGCACCCACCATTCTGTGTGTCCTGGTGTGGCTACCTCTGAGGCTCCAAGGTAAGTTCACCGCAAGGATAAGAAATATCCTGAGCCCCCCCAGGCCTCCAACCCTGTGCCGGTCATGCTGCTGGCAAGTTGAGTCTCTATTTCATCATTACAGTCTGGACCTCTCCCCTTCCCCACAGTGCTTAACATTCCCACGTCCTCTCCCTTCTTCTCAGACATTCTCATCTTCCCTATAGCTTCAAGTGCCACCTCAGAGGCTCATGATGCCTAAATCGGTCCAGTTTCATGAAGTGATGGCTTCTTCATGAACAAAAACTTTTGCTCTGTTAGACATGAAGTAGCTGCTCATTTAAAGATTTACCTCTTGCCTCCTGGTTCCTGACTGTAACTTCTCACCTCTGCCCTTCACAAGGCTATATTTCTTCAGCAAACATCTCATTAGTCCCTGTATCTCCACTTGTGACATAGTGCCTGACCTCTCCCCTAAGCTCCAGACTCTACTATTTAACCTAATCAAACATGGGTGTCTTTCACAGATATGATAAGGAATTCATCTTTCCCCACAAACTCCCTTCTCCAACACGCCCCAATGAATTAGCAGCACCACCCATGTTGCCAAAAACCAGTGAGTGATCTCTCCTCTCCACACTCCCTCCCAACATTCATGCATCAGCCATGCCCGCCCCAGTGTCCACCTCGACTACACTGAGCAGCATCTCCCTGTCACCAGTCTTACCCTGCCTTGTCAATTATCCACTTGGTCACCAGAGGCAGGTTCCCAAACATAAATCCAATCAATAAAATAAAACAGAAACCTAGTAATCCCATCAGATAAGTAGAGGAAAAACAAGGTTTAAGAAAATAAATGCAGGGCTGGGGATGTGGCTCAAGTGGTAGCGCGCTTGCCTGGCATGCGTGCAGCCCGGGTTCGATCCTCAGCACCACATACAAACAAAGATGTTGTGTCCGCTGAAAACT